AACGTTCTAAAGAATAAGTAAACAAAAAAGTTTATTCCAAACGTTCAGAATAAATAAAGAAATGCAGCCTGTATGTTCATCGCTGCAGTCAAGTTATTGCTATAACCGGAGATAGGACAATCCTTAAGTATGTGTTCTATACTGAGGGGTTCGTTACTTTGATTGCCGTTGAGCTACGCGACTGTAGTAATGCTCAGATGTGAATTTGGTTACGCCTACTCTCATTCTTGCTATTGTTATGCATTTTTCGCGTGAAAAGTCCTTATGATAGTTCAGTCGGTCACATCTGACCTTGTGGGCAGTGATCGGACTTCTACCACATTGTGGTAGATCTGCCACTTTTTTGAGCATCTACCACACAAGGTCTGAAATCTACCACATATTGGCGTTTTTGAGTACCTAGTTTTATTTTTGCTCGACATAATTTTCTTAATTTTAAGAGCAAAAATTGTCCAACACTAACCACTATATGGTAACAAGAATGATATAATACAAGATTCCGCATTCCCGCCAACGATGAAATAACCTGTAAAATAGTAAATTTTCTCAATAATAAATTTTTCGACAGGAAACGTGGTTTCATTATGTTAAATTTTAAAATATTTGATTTATAAAAAGAATAGCGAAAAGTAAAAAAACCGGCGATTTTTGTGAAAGTATTAGTAAATTTCAGTGCATCTAAAGTTTCTGAGGCGTTGTTTACATTTACTTGAGAATTGTCAAAATCGGCAAACCCCAAGTAGCGTGCCACATTTGTTCGCTACATCGTGATGTGATAAAAAGAAAAGCTGGCAGCACTCCGCAAGGTTGCAAAAAAATTTATGTTCGAAAAATATCTTGATATGGAAGGAACCGCTTTACACCGTCCAGGAAAAAAATTGCCAAAACTCAACGCAATTTTTAGCAACTTCAATCTTGCACTTTGTTATACTAAAATTAATTTTTTTTAGAGTCTAATTAAAAAGTTTCCAATTTACAGCCCTATTCTAATAAAACCTCACAACTGAGTTGTGAGCAAAACTTTGTGAGATTTCTTGTGAGGTCTATTTTGTGAGGTTATTCTAGCCCACACCTCACAAGAAAAAAGCTCAACAAAATCACCACACGAGGTGAAAAGCATTTTGCAACACATTTGCCATTCCCAAGACAGCCGGTTCTACGTACCGGAATGACTCGGGTTTTACCCGACCAAGGGCTGTTGTTTCGGCGACCTAACCCCGCTTAGATCGGCGATACCCCTCAATCATTGTTCGTCCATGGAGCAACTCCTTGCAGCCGGATTGCTCCGCATCCTTCTTCTCCGGGCAGGCGTAGAGCCCAACCCCGGACCAGAAACGTATTTCTGCTGTGTTTGCCAGAATCGACGCCATCCAAACTCCACTTCGGTTAGGTGCAATTCATGCAACGGATGGAGTCACCTAAGAACCTGCTCTGGTCTTAGGTCTCATCAGGAGTGGACCACAAGCTATGTGGCTCCCTGCTGCTCAAGCCAAACGGCCCAATCAGCCTCCACGGCTACCCGCTCGCGCAACGCACCCAACACCCGAAGAGCCCGCACGGCTCCGAGAAGCTCCTCTGGGCAACAGCAAACCGGTCTACTCACCACGCGCGAATGGACTGCGAACTACAGCGCCCCATGCTGTAGAGCACCACTGACACAGACAACAGCACCCTCATTGCAGCCACCTACCAACAGGCAGCAACAGCAAGCGCGTCAGATGCAACAGCCCCAAGGTAGACCTCACTCCTCCCTCACCCACCGTATCGCGACTAGCCTCCCAAGGCATACGAAACTCCTACAACTCAACTGCAACGGACTCCAGAGTAAGATTGAGGAGCAAGTAGTCTTTATGGGTCGGCATGGCATATTGATAGCTGCGGTCCAAGAAACGAAGTTGCACAGCAACTCAACTCTATTGGGTTGCGCCGCCTACAATGTGCTACGTAAAGATCGCGAGCGAGATAATGGTGGCGGACTAGCGTTCATCTTACACCACACAGTGCAGTATCGGCTTATCGAAGAAGACATCGACCCGAGGGACACCACCCTAGAATGTCAGGGCATAGCTGTCCGGTCAGGCGATGTCGAGCTCGAAATATTCAACGTTTATATACCCCCTGTCACCTGCTGCCCGGCAGGATATTACCCTGACATAGGTGCGCTACTCAGAGGTGAAAACCGAATGGTAGTAGGTGACTTCAACGCGCACCACGATCTATGGCACTCAAGCCTGGCCAATGATCGTAGGGGAAACCTTTTGGCTGAGCAGATAGACGATTCGACATTCTGCACCATGAACGACGACGCCCCCACCAGGATTATGGGTAGCTGCAGCAGCTCGCCAGACCTAACAATTGCTAGCGCTGGTTTGATCAATAGCATCTCATGGCGACCTATGCTAACACTAGCATCAGACCATCTACCCATAGTCATCTCGATCAATAAGCCCACCGACTTTGCTCCCGCGGACCACCGAACCTATACCAACTTCAACAAAGCTGATTGGGACGGCTTCGCGGAAGTCACCGAGAGCAGCTTCGCCGCCCTTCCCACACCCACAAACATACACACTGGCGAACGCCAGTTCCGCAGGGTAGTCACTGCCGCAGCGGCTCGCTTCATCCCGTCCGGACGCATCGCGGAAGTCCGCCCAAATTTCCCGGCCGAAGCAGCTGTACTAGCAAACGAGCGTGACCACCTACGCCAGGTCGACCCCGGGGACCCTCGTCTGAGGGACCTTAATTTGGAGATTCGGCAACTGGTAAATCAGCATAAGCGGAAAAAGTGGGAGGAGCACTTGAAGGCCTGTAACTTCACATCTGGTGTGAGTAAGCTCTGGTCAACCGTGAGGTCCCTGTCCAACCCAACGAAGCGTGATGACAGAGTGGAAATCTCTTTCGAAGGTCGCGCTTCGTCGGACCCGAAGAAATGCGCAGCCTACTTTAGTAGGCAATTCACACTGCACCCTTCGGTAGACAAGGCCAAACGTCGAGTGACCAGGAGGCTGCACAAGCTGCCAAAAAACAGTGCACCACTTGTTTTCACCAGCTGTGAAGTGAAGGGGGCCATCGGGAAGGCGAAAGCCTCCAAAGCCATTGGACCCGACGGAATCTGTATGCTGATGCTAAAACATTTAGGGCCTAAGGGAGTAGCTTACCTAACGGAGGTCCTCAACCTGTCCATGGCCACTCTCATCATTCCTGATGTGTGGAAATCAGGGAGAGTGGTCCCACTGCTGAAACCGGGGAAGCCCGCCAACAAAGGAGACTCTTATCGCCCGATAACGCTCCTTTCCCCGGTCGCGAAGACGCTTGAGGCCCTACTACTCCCATACTTCACTTGCCACCTGACCCCAGCTAAGCACCAGCACGGATTCCGTAAAGTGCACAGCACAACAACAGCACTTAACGCCATAAACACCCAAATAACTCGTGGCCTAAATCGAAACCGCCCCTGTGAGAGAACGGTCCTAGTAGCGCTGGACTTGTCAAAGGCGTTTGACACCGTCTGCCATTCCACGCTACTAGAAGACATCGAGGCCTCCTCACTCCCACAGGGACTGAAGCGATGGTCGGCGAATTATATGAGTGGTCGACAGTCGTCAGTAATCTTCCGAGATCAAACCTCGAAACCAAGAAGGATTAAACAAGGGGTTCCACAAGGTGGTGTTCTCTCCCCCTTACTATTTAACTTCTACATCTCGAAGCTTCCTCAACCACCTGAGGGAGTTTCCCTGATCTCATACGCTGACGATTGCTCGATTTTGGCGTCTGGGAATGGAATTGATGACCTCTGCTCAAAAGTGAACGACTATCTCTCCAGCCTCTCTCGCTTCTTCATTGCAAGGAGCCTAACACTCTCCCCAACGAAATCAACGGCGACCCTCTTCACCACCTGGACGAAGGAGGTCAGGCTAGAGTTAGGCATACACGTCACGTCACACGTGGCTCAATTACGGTCTGGATACTGTAGCCGCCTCAACAGCTACCTGTCCAGACTCGACCCCAATATCCCCAATGAGTGCCCGGCATGTGGAGAATCCCCCCACAACACCAACCACCTCTTCACGTGCCAGCTCAATCCGACTCAGCTAACACCCCTCTCCCTCTGGTCCGAACCCATTGAAACAGCTCGTTTCCTGGGCCTCCCGTTAGTTGAGCTTGACGAAAATGATTGAACGTAGACCCGAAAAAGGTGGGGCTTAGTAGTGCCGCTACAACAACAACAACAAAAGCATTTTGCTGTCTAACAGCTGTTTTAGAGCTGGAAAACTATCGATGGTCGTGGCCATCGATAGTTTCGATGGTCGATAGTCACAACCATCGATAGTATCGATGCTATCGAAAATGTCGACACTATCGATAGTACTATCGATAGTTTTGATTAAAACAGTCCAAAAATTAAACACAACAACTTTTATTGAAAATTNCAATGAGTGCCCGGCATGTGGAGAATCCCCCCACAACACCAACCACCTCTTCACGTGCCAGCTCAATCCGACTCAGCTAACACCCCTCTCCCTCTGGTCCGAACCCATTGAAACAGCTCGTTTCCTGGGCCTCCCGTTAGTTGAGCTTGACGAAAATGATTGAACGTAGACCCGAAAAAGGTGGGGCTTAGTAGTGCCGCTACAACAACAACAACAAAAGCATTTTGCTGTCTAACAGCTGTTTTAGAGCTGGAAAACTATCGTGGGTCGTGGNTAAAGAGTACGCTCACGTATGTCATAATCCGAAAACGGCGTTTTTACGTGTCGAGTATTCGAGCCCAGAATTGCTAACATATGACGATATTTTCTTTTTCAAGGAACAAAAGTTTATCAACGATTTTTAGCTCCAAGTAGCATCTGCGCTCTGAAATATGTATGTTACTGAATAATGTATGTACGAGTGAAAACTATCGATAGTGCTTACAAAACCATCGATGTTTTCGATAGTCAAAAACCATCGATACTATCGATAGTGCCATCGATAGTTTTCCAGCTCTAAGCTGTGTCGTAAATAAAATAAATACAAAAGATGGTTGCTGAAGAACGGGAAAAGTAAATATTTTTGCAATTTGTTTATTTTTTTGATAATTACGGATTTTATTTATTTTCTAGGCGAATTTAAAAAGAAATAACAAAGCAGGAGTAGCTCCAGTACTTCACACAGTTGGCAATCCACAACTTGGAGCAAAAGTTTGTATGGAAATGAAATCCTGTGCTTGCTCTAACTCTTCCGAAACTGCCGCAAAAACAAGCAATAACTCCGCCATTACTGAATATACTTTTAGTTAAAAAAAAAAACTTAACACAGACACTGATAGCGAACGAAAATTAACAAAACATTATTCAATTGCTCAATAAAAATCGGCTGTTTTTCTCTTGTGAGGGTATCATTCGTACATCATAAATTTCCTGACAATTGTGAGCGTATGAGCTTTTGAATTTACGCCAGCATAGGGATAACCTCACAATAGTCAGCAACCTCACAATAGTGAAGTTCTGAACACATTGAAAACGACGAGCTACGGACCACAGCTTCCAGTTTGTCATCTTCATTATCTAAACGCTTTGTCGATGGCGACATGATTTCTTTGAACGCGGCAGCGACATCATGAATTTGTATCAGTTTGACATAAAAGAAGAGGAAGAACCTTATCTGTCGCCAGAAAAATAGAAATAGATCTAATCTGGCCACAACCACAGCCGTCGCGTAGCCCGGTCGTCGCCAAAATAATTATCTACATAAGAGTACGTGTTAAAATAATTTGACAGCTGTGGTTTGTAGCTCGTCGTTTTCATTGTGTTCGGGCTATGAGTGTGGTGATTTTTGTGAGGGCAACAGAATAGGGCTGTTAGGTGATACCTTACAGAATTTCTTAAATTTTTGTACAAAGTTTGATCCAAAGCTTGACATCTACATTTTTTTGAAATCTACCACATTTTTTTCCAGATTCTTCCACAGAATTTTTTTAAGTCCTCTTTCAGACACGTCAAGTCTTGAAAGCAATTTTTTTCGCATTCTCTTTTGTGTTTTCTATTCACAGTATACCAGTAGGAAAGGTTTTTGTTGTTGTGGCTGTTAATTTGGTCCCCATAAAGGACTTGGGGGTTGCGAGCAACTGTTTTGCCGTATTCAGGGTGCTGTGCAGCAAAATAATGTGGTGAAATATTTTAACATCGGATAAATGGCGAGAGAAATACTGTTATGCGCTTTATAAGTAAACATGAACGTAATAAAATGTTTTATACTTCAATACAACTAATTAGCGCTATTTTTGCAATTCGAAACGATCTTAAAAATATTTGTAGTGAAATATGTACTTTATGAGTTAAATGGAAACTATCTTATATGTAAAAATGTATTCCGATTTACTTCAAATACATGAAAAATGTTTATATATGGATCTAATTTTAATAATAATATTTATTACTTTCATCTACATTGCTTTTATTGTAAGATTTCACGAGTAGTTGCAGTTTTCTGCAATTGTGTCTGGCGACTATACACGCTAAAGCTAAATAATTTCACAATTTCTACCCTATTAAACGTTTATATTTTAATAAAATGTGATCAATTACTTAAGAATATATAATTTCCGATCAAACTATAGTACTGAATGCTTGAGAAAAAATTATTTAAATCAAATGATCAATAGTGAACGCACTCGGAGCGAATTTTGGAACACGGAGCGAATTCTGCATATTAACACTAAATAATTTCTAACTTTCTACCACATTATACGTTTATATTTCAATTTAATATGATTAATTACTGAATAATATATAAACTCCGATCAAACTTCACTACTGAATGCTTGACAAACAATATTTGAATCAAAAGATCAATAGTGAACGCGCTCTGAGCGAATTTTGGAACACGATATAAAATATGCATGTTAAGACTAAATAATTTCTCATAAGCTTATCGTCGTTTAAAGTGCAAAACCGCGTATCAACAAAATACAAAACCGCGTATCAGCAAAATGCAAAACCGCGTATGTGAAGTTGTAAAAATTATTTTTTAGAGGGCAAAAGCACTCATATTTGAAAATGGTTCTCTTTTTTATAAAGCAATCTCATTTCTGGCTAGTATAATTCAGGACGAATGGATATGGAATGAGCCAAGAGCTTGTTTCAGCAAATCCAATTTTTGTCAACCAATGTTAGTTACGCGGTTTTGCAGAATGACGATACGCGGTTTTTTACTTTAAACGACGTTATGTTTTAATATAATATAATTAATTACTGAAGAATATATTAACTCCGATCAAACTATAGTATTAATTTTATGACAAACTATTTAAATCAAATTATCAACAGTGAACGCGCTCGGAGCGAATTTTGGAACACTTCATAAAATATTTACAGAGGAAGTATATTATTTGGTAGAGATCAAAATGTATTTAACAAAGCGTGATTGAATTTGACCATGCTCTCAGAAGAACCATCCTATAAAGTCAAATTGAAAAAAAATTTTTATGAATTTTGAATCGTTTGTTTATATTTTTCTACATAATAGTATCTTAAAAGAGAGCCGCACTGAGTTGTCAATAACACCTTGGGCCGTATGCATAAAAACCAAGCAATTACTACTTCTCAGATTTTCATACCTTTCACTTAAATAAAAAATAAATAAATAAATAATAAATAAATAAATTTATTTGAAAAAATAGTGAAAGGTCTGAAATTTTAAGAAAAAGCATTTGCATACGGCCCCTTGTTTAATACACCCATGATACAAATATTTAAAGGTAAAACCGCTTGCTCAATTCGTCGGCCATCATATATTTTTTGAAGTTTGTCTATTTTATGAAATTGAAATTTTGAGAGCAACTCAAATGCCAAATAATAGTAAAACAAAAAACAAATAGATGAAAATATTGAAATTTTCATTTATTTGAGACTGAAAACGAGAATGNGATACAAATATTTAAAGGTAAAACCGCTTGCTCAATTCGTCGGCCATCATATATTTTTTGAAGTTTGTCTATTTTATGAAATTGAAATTTTGAGAGCAACTCAAATGCCAAATAATAGTAAAACAAAAAACAAATAGATGAAAATATTGAAATTTTCATTTATTTGAGACTGAAAACGAGAATGTATTTGTGAGATTGGAAATTTGAGAACATTTTTGTAATGTTAGCAAACTTTAAAAATGTTCAGGCTGCCTTTCAGCGGTTTTACCTTCAGATTTTTGTATCATGAATACACCTTGGTCGAGATATNCGTATTCATTTTTTTAACGATTTTAAAAAAAGGGAGGACAGTCGGATCTACGTAACCAGAACGACCTAAATGCGCATTGAAGTCGGTTGTATTTTTGCTTAAAATTATTTAGAGATTTATCGACATACTTTTTCATATTACTGTTATTTATTATTTTTCTAATTAGTCATTTATATGTTTAGGACTTACTGTGAGTGCATTAAGATTCATTTTGTAAATATGTATGTACATATAAAAAACAATTGGGATATTTTATTTTAAATTATGAATTTTATTCGTGCAATTTTTTATGTTTAATAGTTTTGAGAACATTTTTTGGTTCTGTTGTATTCCTTTAATGCATGCCTTAAACTTTTTTACTTTAAGTTATAATGTTGAAGTGCTTCTGCCTTTGTCAAGCACTTTAGCTAGGTGCGAGAAATTTAGCATATGCGCGTAAGGGCATAGAGTAGGTATACGGCTGTGCTGCCGCGATTCTCCAACATCTTGTCAAAGGAGAAAACATATTGGTGGCGGAATCCATCGTAGTCCGATTTTTCTTAAAATCTTCGAAAGAGCGATCACTGAATCTGAACTGCTATGAACGTATGTATTCAAAGCAAGCGCTGCGTTCGTAGCTACTCGAACTTAATAGCATTTTCGTAGATTTCACGAAAAATCGGACTACGATGGATTCTATGATAGCCTTCGTACGATTATGACTTATGGATCGATTATGGATGGGAACGGAACCTCAGTTTGGTTGCCGATGGGCAGCGCCACTGAAATGAAAATGTTTTTTTTATTATGAATAGCAATAATTAAGTTTCATAAAGTTCAAGGTGGTACAATTTAAAAAAAAGTTGAAAAAAGAAATAAAGTATCTCAATCAAAAATTCCCGGCAGCCACAAAAACGCACTTGCCAATATAGCAACTTAGTTGCCAGCTTTCAGTTGCTAGTTGCCATCGGTAATACCATTTCAGCCACTGGCCAACCAACTGAAGTTCGGTTGTCCTCCGTAATCAACCCATAAAATCGGAATCGAATATGCATTCACGTTCTGCAGAACGATAAATATTTTGTAAATGTGTGCTATGCCCGCTAACGAATTCCAGCCATGTGTGAAATATCGTATGTGAAGCCCCCGTCTGACTTAACGATTCTCAAAGGCATGCCAGAAGATGTTTCATCATATGTTTTCGGCCATCGTCTTATTCGAGTAAGTTCATCGATACCAAAAACTTTACAACCTATATTTGCCAGCAGCCCTTAGTGTTTTTGCCAATGACATGGTACTATTGCACTGTTAATAACCAAATTAAGCCGCAGTTGCATTCACACGTGATATAATAGCTAGTGTCGGCAAGCTGTGGGAATGCCCAGGAGATGGCGTTTGTTCAGCTATCGAAATCATTACACTGACGGCGGTGGGCAGTTCTGCTGGAACATATTTACCACAGCAGTGGTTGCGGCGTTTTGTTCTGCAACAATAGCCTGCAATGATGACTTGTCATATAATTTCGACGAACAAAGATATAAAATTTAAAATGACTAACCTTATTCCCAGCCGATTTGGGAGACCACCCTTGCTCACGACCAAAACGTATTTACCAAGAGGAAAAACCGCAGGAATTGCAGTAGTTCTTGCAATCACCGTTGATGATGCTGTGCTTGTAATTAATAGTCTGAAAATACAGAAAATTGCATTAATGAAATGGTATACACATCAAATAAATAAATTTTAATAATTTTTTTACCATTTCACAAACCGAATTACCGAGAAATAGAAACTCTCCGGGATGCGATGCAAAAATAAAAACCAACAGGGATGCATTTTCTTGGTAAACAACACAAGCCCTCCGAGCAATCTGTTCCGCAAAATTATTTTGTGAAAAATAATAGTTGAAAAGAGTTTTTACACATGATTATCACATTAACTCATAAGTGCAAATTATTGTGACTATTTTTAGTTGAATATAATTGTATTACCTTAGACTTTTTTTAATGTTTTCTAATATTCATTCTTTTGGGACGCAAAAGCAACCATGCGTTCAATTTCTTCTGAGGAAATTTGGTCCCCATAAAGGACTTTCACCACGAAACAGCTACAAAAAAAAACCTAATAGTCACCAAAGTTTACGGCAGCCCTGTCATCATGTTTCNTTAATGTTTTCTAATATTCATTCTTTTGGGACGCAAAAGCAACCAT